CCTCATCAGTGGGGGGAGTGGGTGCTCTGCCCTGGCACCACTTGCCAGCCAACATGGGGGGGGCGTGGGATGTGGGTGTGGCAGTGTTGGGAGTGGGGGCTATGCCCTGCTGCTGCTTGCCCCCTTCTGCCCAGAGCAAGCCACACCTGTATTGCCACCTGCATCAGTGAGCAGCGCCAACATTGGCACCAGCATCAGCCAGTGCCTGCATCAGTGCCAGCACCAGCAAGCCGTGCCTACATCAACGCATCCTGTGCTCCCCAGGCCTGCTGGCAAGCGATGGCAGGACAGAGTCCCCACTCCCAGTGCAGATGCAGGCACGGCTTACTCCAGGCGGAAGGGGGCAAGTGGCAGCATGGCATAGCCCCCACTCCCAGCGCTGCTGTGCCCACATCAGCACTGGGAGCAGGGGCTCTACCCTGCCGCTGCTTGCCCAGCCAGTGGGGGGGGGGCATAGGATGCAGCAGTGCTGAGAGCGGGGACTGCCCTGCTGCCACTTGCCCCCTTCTGCCCGGAGTGAGCCGTGCCCACATCCTGCCCCCCCCTCACCCTGGCTGGGCAAGTGGCAGCACTGCAGAGCCCCCACTCCTAATACTGCCACACCTGAATGCTGCACCCCACCACCCCAGCTGGGCAGCTTGTCCCAGCCCCAATCCCTTCCTCCCTGATGCCCCTTCTCTCCCTCCTCCCCAAACCCCAACAGACTTACCAGCTGGAGGCAGCTGCGTCAACTGCCTGTTTAATCTATGGCTGAATTGCCGAATTGGCCAAATCTTTTCCGAAGCTTTTCTGAATTGATTCAGATACTTCAAATTGATTCAGAGCTTTTAATTGGTTTCCTGATTCAATTTGAATTCAGAGATTTGGTCCCTACACATCCCTACACATCCATCTGTTTCTCTCTCCCAAGACCCAGCTATCCAGGACAGAGTTGCTTCAGGTACCTCCACTCAGCACCTATCCATCACCTGTTTACCCCTGGTACTCCTACAGCACCCACCAAACCCAGGTGCCCCCCTGACACATTCCATCATGCTTGCCATAGCAGCCAAGTTTTGTGGAGCTCTATACTCCACCCTGTCACCAATTGGGGCAGGGTCTGGTAATTATAAACTGAAGTTTATAATTTCATGCAAATTATTTACAATCACTCAAATTAATTTATTAAGACATTTGCATCATCTGTCATACTCTCAGCAACACAAAATTAGCAACTATGATTGATCAAATCAATGAAAAAATGGGCATTTGATCAGGCCATTTTAAACAAACACATTATAATGTCTCAGACACATCATAATGCCTTTACACTAGGTTGATTCATAGGTAGCTCTGTTTCTATTTAGAGCACAATGCTGTCACATGACCTGCCCCAAGCCGATTTTTTATTTACATTTGCTATGTATCTATCCCATCATCTCCTACCAACAATGCCTTTGAGGAAAACATGCTGAGATGCTTCCTGATTGGGGTCAATTTCCAACACTGGAACCCTGATGGGTGCATCTCAAGCTATGAGCCAAACAAAGACATAAAGCCACCATCAAGATAAAAGTCAGACATTTTAAAAACTAATCTTTGCCTAATGTATGATAATAATAACAATTTAGATGATTTAAACAGCAAGAATATTAACCTACTTTATTTTTTACCACTTACACTGTTTTAATTTCTTTCACTCAGCTTTCACAATCAAAGTATAATGGGGTATTTAATGAGTTTTGCAATTTTCTCTCATTTTTTGCTTATTCTGCATTAAAACAATACAGCTTCATAGGAGGTTGGCATCTACAAAGTTTCAACATGCAGTCTGGTCCATTTTTGTGTAAAATGTCTTCTTCCTCTGAGGTACTTATACATTACATCCCTGAGTGTGTTCATGTGCATATAGTGGGTATATACTGAATTGTTCTTATATATAATAGGTCCCCTTAACGTTGCCTCTAATCACTCCTTCCCACCAAAATAAAAATTCCACACTCTATTTATGACCATACTTTGCTATAGTGTTTGTAGAAAAGGTGTCTGATGTTCGCAGATGACTCATTAAAGGGGGTGGAGGAACAAGTGGTGAAAAATGTCTCTGGAGGTGTTGGGATGACTAGAGTCTGATTAAGATGACTGGGAGAATCTAGGACCTGTGGACACTCTGCTTCTGAACCCCGCCTCCCCCCGCTTGTTATTAATACCACCTCCTCCTCCTCTTAGGTGCTCCTTCCTCATCAACTCCCTTCTTTCCAGCTGGGGAAGTAGAAAGAGGGAAGGCAGAAAGACCACTTGATAGGTTGCTCAGCAGGCCCTTAAGTTATTCCCAGTGGCTGGTATAAGCAATTCTGAGTTGTTCCTGCAGCCCATTTGAACATGGCATCTCTGCTGGGCAGCACAAAGCTGGGAATCACATCAGATGATATTAGGGAATGCAGCCAGAGAGTGTTACATTTTCTCCTAATCCAGCTTTAATGAAACGACACTAATAAAATCTCTGGGACTTTGGCCTTCATTTAGAGCACTGGGTTGGTCACTTTGTGAAACACAGTAAAAAGCAACAAAAATGTTATTAATCATGTAAAAAAATATGAATAATCTATTTGATGGCAATTTGTGGAAATGCAGTTCTTTACAAAAGAAACAGCTGCAAGAGAAAAAAGTACTATATTTTTTTGCATATAGTATACCTTTCCAACAGCAAGATGCTGGAAATTGGACTATGCATTATATGCAAGAAATATGGCAAGAGCAGTTTCTGACACTGGGCAAAGGCAGAAGTAAAGTCTGCATCAATCTGTAGGGAGCAGAACAATGAGGAGGCTCAGCTCCCTAGCTTCTAGTATTCAGTTACTTACTACAAAGAAAGATCTTTTTTCTTCATTCTGCTTTTCAAAAACAAACTGTGTATCTTATTCCAGGATGTAATGTATGCAAAAAAATACGGTATTCAGGTCATCCTCTCCATCACCAGTGACTACCCTAATGCTGCTGTGGTGACAAATACTGATTTATATTTTGGCAAATACGTTTAGCTCTATAATGACATTAATTCACTGAACCTGGAACTTGAATATTACATTAATTTACGTTACATTTCACTGTACGAGTTTGGCTATTTCTTTTCCAAGGTAAGAATTTGTCCAAGGAAGAGATGGTGATGATGATGATGATGAAGATGTAAAAAGCAGACCAGGATGCTGGCTGCATCTCCCATTAGCAGTGCCCCTTAGCTGCTTCACTGGCAGGGAGTGATCATATCTGTTTCTAGACAATACTCTCCATTTTTGGATTGTGCTGACCCTGACAGGTTCCCTACGGAGCAAGGATTAGAGCAGCTTTCTGACATCATAACCTCCTTCCACCAGTGGGCAAGAGATAATCCTAAAGTGGAAGCAAGCATAAGTAAACTCCTGGGTGAATTTAGTTACACAAGCAATGCATTCTATTCCTCATGTCATCATGCAGTGACAGCCTTCCTGCAAGTTGTATTCCTCATCCTTTTGCCTCAAAATGTTCAATGATATTTTCATGTAGCAGTACCCAAATTCATACAGTGCTTTATTTTTAACGTATGAATATTTAATTTGTTGAAGGAGGAAGAGAATATCTTCTAAGGGGGGGAAGAGTAAGTAGTAACAGCTGAAGCTACATCTTATTTTGATAGATCACACACTGATTATAAGTAGCAAAAACAGGGACTTTTTTTTTAAAGTTACATAGGGTGAAAAGCATTAAACAAGCCTACCTCCTTCCATCCCACATCTCTCACCTTTGTAGTCCACAGTTTGACTGTCCAGTCAAATGACGATGTAACAAAGAGATGGGAAAAGTCAATTGGGCCCACTGCCATGTGGCAATTGATTCCTGTGACAGGCCCTTGGTGGCCTTCAAAGATTTCACCAATGCCTGCTTTACTGCAGAAAGAAGATACACAAACCTTAGTCAGAGATTTTTTAATTTTCTTTATCTTCAGGTTCATGCCTCACTGATTCTCTGCAAAGTGCCAGTCAATCAGTAAACCTCAGCTAGTTTCTTTTATGCCGTTGTCTCCAAAGACTTGTTGTTGTGGGCACAATTCATTCACAGAACCCCACATATAGATGTCTTCTTATAAGTTGCTTTCACATATAGTATCAGAGAGACTGTGGCTTGCAAGAACATCTCTGAATAATAATAAAGGAAAGACTCACAGAGACTAACGAATCCAAGTAACCCATTATCATGCAGAGCATCCATTAAGATTGCAAGCTGCATTAATAAAAGACATCAATTACAGTTCCCTTTCTTTCTGAACATCTGAAATAACTTTTTCAGGTAAGCTAGGCAATCCACTCAGAAGCAGATCCTTTTTACTTAACTCTACTGAATTTAAAGAAACTGTTCAAATCATCACAGTGAACAGGACTCGTCCCCAAATCTTAGGTCCAGCATTGGTTTGAACAAGTGGCAATTTCTATTGCATTAGAATGATTCATAGAAAGAACAGAGCAACTATAAGAAAGAAAAAAATAAATATCCATTAAAGAGAGACATTGAGAAACACTCTTATGTACTTTCTACAAACAACCATTCTGAATTGACTCATATCACTCCCCCATGGTACCCAAAAAAAGAATTATAAAACCACCCCTGCTTTTACATGGATACCACAAAAGAAACAAACACGGTCAACACAACTATGGATGACACAGCTGCTAAGGCCATGCATTTTTGCCCTTGCTCAGTGGGATGAGAGTGAATGCACAGCAGCCAGCAGCTAAATCCTCAAAGGCTTCTATCAGTTATGGCAGCTTGCTCAAACTAGAAACTAACCATACCTATTAGTAAGCCGTTAAAACCTACAATGCCACTGAGGAAGCACTGACTTCTCAGCCAGTTTCGCTGTACCACGTTTCATAGTTCTGGTGTGAAGCATGCCAATTATTTCATTGCTTCTACATAGGACAGGATATTTTATTGTTATGTTCCAGAGATATATAAAAAGCATGAAAAATGCTTTTTCCTTTACACATCTCTCTCTAGAATTTTGTTTCCCTTTGTAATGAATTGTGTTGAAGAGACAAGAGTCCATGAGAATAAATTCTATCTTGTGGATGATTCCAATCCCACAGGCATGGAAAAGGGCAGAGTGTATTTTTTACAGTGGTCAGGGGAGATACTGAAAGAGCATCAAGCACAAGTTTCCTCCTCTTGTGGGGTACACAAAAGCAGGAGCATGTTTGAAAGTTTAGAAGTGCTAAATCAGAAATGACCCAGGGCAGCTTTCATTTATTCAGACAGCCCAAGACTAATTCAAACCATCAGTCACCCTATCATTGCCTAAGTAGAGACATTCAACACTGCTATGTATCAGCAATAAAGCTAAATATCCAAGGTTTTCATTAATAAAAGGTATACCTTTTAAAGAGTCTATGAACTGTTCTATTATTTTAATATTATGAATATGGAAGATTATTTAAATACTATAGCAATTTTAATGGAAATTAATTGGTTATTAAAATATAAAATTAAAGCACATGACACTGAGAAATATCAAAATGTAGAACAAACTGTAAACCCAAGAATGGAATGGAATGCTGAGAAGCATGTTCTTTACAAGCATCCAGCACAGTGAAAATGTTACCAGCAGTTAAAACAAGCACACAAGTCTTCAGAAATACATTTTAATGAACATGAGGAACTGATCTTTGAAGTGGCCCCAGGTGAGATATCATTTGCCCCTGAAAAAGTTTACAGGGTGCAAAATAAGGAACTCATTTAAATTATGGAAGTGGATTTGCACCTTCACTGCTCTAGGAGAATAGGAGATCACTGCTGTATTATGCACAGTGCAATGACTATCCTATGAACTGTCACTTAGATCTGTACAAAAGATTAGTACAGATCTTGGGTAGCCCTCCAAACAATGTTAGGAAACATTCTTTTGGATGATATTTCCACTGCATTTCAGACTCTCACTTTAGCCATATTAATACCCAGAGCCTGATCCCACACTGCTTACCCAGACAAAACTCTCATAGAAGTTTAGAGGAGTAAAGGTTGCAGATCAGACCCCTCATAAGTAGCATCACATTCAGGCAGAAGTCTGTCCTATGTTATTAAGGTGCTCTCCTGAGAAGATGGTTCCACAAGTTATCCCTATAGTGTAACTCAGCAGAGGAAACTGAGGGTGCAGATCTTGTTCAAAGGACTAAAATGGACTAAGGAAGAGTAGTCAACCAGCCTGGCTCCCAGTACACATGCTACTGCTAATAGGAAGTGCTAAGTGATGTAACAACTAGCAGATACTCTACAAGTTGGAACAGGAGCTGCTGGGGGGGATGATTTGGAGGGTGAGACTTGGAAGCTTCTAGGAAGCTCCATGTGTTCAGGGAATTGCACAACATCTCTGATCACACAATGCATCATGTAGCTGCAAGCAGCAGCACTGAAACCAGTGCACTTCAACAAAGATCCAAGTCGCAGCAGTCTAAATGGACTCCATGTATGCAGGACCCTGTGCATGAAACAGATGGGAGGTAGTCACAGCTACTAAATGTCTTGTTCTAGTATCCATGGAGTCACTCTTCTCTGGGCAAGCAGAAAACCTCAGGGCTGGCACTGTTCTGCCCTTCCCTGCCCCTCACCTCAAGGTGAAGTTACTGTCAGAAAGCAGACCCAAAATGAAGCTGAGGCTGGGGAAGGAACTACATGCAATCCTAACAGAGCATTAATGGCACTGTTGATAATGGACTGAAATAAGAAAGATAATGTTCTCTATAAAACACAAACACTATGATGTATGAAGCAATTCTGAAAATCACCTTCCATGACGGCAAGCTGTGTAGACTGTCCCCTCCTCACTGCCCACCACAAAGTTATTGACATCTCCTGTTGGGAAAGCCATTCCTGTGACTGCCACCGGTTTGGATTTATTATACACCAGTTCCATACTCTCCTACCAAAACAAACCATAGTTATTTTCTGATTGTTTCCCAGTTGTTTTTAAAGGGATCATGGGGGGAAAAAAGGTTATTTTCCTAAATCATTTATTGTTTTTGCATAGGTTGTTACAAGAAGATGTATTGTCATACAATATGAAGCACTGCTGCCAATATGCTGCTGCATATCACAAGTTTCAGGGTGGCTGGAATTTATCAGTCTGTGCTTCATTTTCTGAAGTCAAGCAGAGATGACAGGTGAGAATTTAAAAACTAATGGTGCAGAAACTAAAGATAATACCTTAATGGTTACACTTGTCATCCCCAGGCTCTAATAAAGCACACAATACCCTTATATTTACAAACATTTTGAAATCAATTGTTTGCCAGAAACACACATAAAATCTGATACACCCATGACACTTATCAGACAATGCCATTTGTCCCTCTATAGAACAGAATAAGAAAGTTAGGACCAAGTCAGCATTACTGTTCTAAACATTATTTCTCAGGGGTTTGTTATAGCAGCCATAAATATTTGCCCAGGTTTTTACTGTCAAGCTGCAAGCTGATGAGAATATTTTCTTTTATTTCCCCACAGTTAGGCTTCAAACCAAATCAGCTATGTTTGGGTTTTTTTTGAGTAAAATGAATGCGGGCATTTCTTTTGTATAAGCATTTACTTGAAATAGATTTTTTTTGCACATATATAATGCCAAACCACTTGTTTTCTTAAGTGTAACCTAAGAATCTGTGATGGGGGTGAATTGACTTCATAATTTTTGTGCATAACTATTTAAGAAAAGTTAGTGTTGCTACAGCTGTGATGGTCCGGGGGGTGTACAAGAAAGCATAAAGTGTCCTTCCTCAGATCTAAGCCTTAGGGACTGGTCAGTGTGTACTGTTGGGAGAATTTTTTTTCTGTAGCCACAATCAGCTGGACTTTTCATAAAAGGAAGGGATGTAAAATCAGGCATATAGATAATCCTTACTACCAAGTTCATATGCTCCTATGAAAATATTTACCTTTGTTAAAAAACCCAAAACAAAAAATAGAAAATTCACACACATTCTATATTTATAAAGATCAGGAATGTAAAGCATACTAGCAAAAGCTATGAAATCCCAAGTTGAGGCTAACACATTCACTTCTAGTAATGTGACTTTCTTTGTAAGAATAGAGTAAGTTACAATTTGACACAATTTACCACGTTGACACAATTTACAATGCTGTTAGAACTAGAATTACTCTGTAGATGCATATCCCATTTAAGTGGAGAGTTTACAGAAATTGAAACTGAAGTTAAACAACAAACATTTATCTTTGAAGGGATAGTAATGTTCCATTAAGAGGCATTTCTACAGGATATTTTGAAACAACTTGCCCAATCTATTCACATTATTTTAATAAAAAACAATAATAATATATTCTTCATCCCAGTAGATGAAAAATGAGAAATAAGGGATGTTTTGGAATAGAAAATAACATAAAAATCGAAGCTTTCCAAAGGTCTGTTTCAATACCTCTTCTTTGTTTAGTTTGCATGACTATAATCACTAGTGGCTTAGAAACTTTTCCTGGATTTCCTTTTATTTCTAATACAAAGGAGAGGTGGAAAAAAAGACAAGGGTAGCAAACATTCCAAAGTGTGCATGTGTGTGGGGGGTGCCCAATTAAAAACTTTAGATTTGCATTGTTTGTTCCCTTGGTAACAAAACGCAGGCAACAAACTAAGCTTTTTGACTTTGTGAAAGACATGTAAGTGGGTAGGGTGGGTTCCACAGCAGTGCAGTCTACTCCATATTTGTTAAACAATGCTGTACAGTAAGCACAATTTATACCACAGGCAACTTCTATAATTACCGTGTTTTAAACTGGATTATTTCATTTTCACTTGAAACTGACCTATGTATTAACGTATTACAATAATTACATGATTTGTGGTAAAGGAAATGGGTTTTGGCTCTTAGAGGAGACTGCTGGAAGTAAGTGCATCCATTGGTTTTAGTTTGTGTAGGATGTGAGGTTTTGGCTTTTACTATGTTACATTAAGCAGGTATCTGCTTTAACCAGGATGCTTTTTTTGTGTGGAGGTAAAAATAAACCCACCTGTGGAGTTGAGAGCATATCCAGACTCCAGGAGCACATTTTGCCATCTGTGGAAACTGTAATGAGATTGTGCGCATTCTGTGTTCCAACTACATTCACACAGTACACGGGGTGCTGAAAACACATTAAGACTGGGAATCAGATATGGCATTCTTAAATTTTCAAAAACAAATTTCAATTTCAAATGTCAAGGATGTTGTTTTAAAGAATGATTAAGTAGTCACGTAGTGCCAGCACAATAGTTACTCAGCTATTTGCCAGAGAGGAATTTAACTTGCCTTTTGTTTAAACTTTAAAAGGCACGTTATGGTGGTGGGAAACATTTTCAAAGCTTCATTTTACTTCTTCATAAAACAACTCAACTGAGTAATGCTGTGAAAATGTTGAATTATATGGATGATATTTCACCCACAGGGACACGTATCATTCCGCTGATGGTTTTGATGCTGAAAATGACTGGCAGAAAGAAGCAAATCATCCAAATGGAATCGAAATGAAGACTTTATTCAAGAAAACAGCTGCACAAAAAACTTGGACTTTGCCATAGTTTGGCTGCTGTACCAAATATTTGCAGATGTACTTCAATGGAAAACTGAACAAATCCAATAGTCCTCTTGACCATAGGCCAATTTATATTAAAAAGCTATCAGTGTAAATCTGAATTGACTACACTAGCCTGTTGGTTTACACCAGAGTTACACCAGGGGAGCTGAGCGCAAAATTTGGTCCACAGATACTAACTTGGTCCATTTCACATGCTATGATGAAGCATGATAAAATTTATTTTTCAGGCATCTTGAAGGGTTAAATTTACAAGAGGCTGCCATCAATGCTCATCTGCAATCATTTGCAATGCACAATGTTGCACAAGACCATCCTCTGTGCCAGGAAATGATAGAATGTATGTGAGCGAACCCCATTTATAGGTTACAGCCAAATTCTGCTCCTGTTAGAGTGAATGGCAAAGCTACCATTCACTTTAACAGTTCAAGACCACCCCCTACATGTGTAAATTCCATCATTTGCAAGCACAGGAAAAATATGATGAAAAACTGTGCATGCAACTGACTGCACATGAAAATCAGTGTTATGCACAGAGGTCAGATTTGGAAAACATGCCCCCAAAACTAGATTTTTAGAGAAACTGATTCTATCATACCCATAGGAAAAGCCCTAACATGACCTTTCCTGGTGTACTTATTAACACAGCACTAAAAGCTAATTAGCACATATTCTTATATAAAAAGTGTTTAGTCTTATCAGCCCTCCTCATAAAATGAGCTCTATGCATTTGTATAAAAGCTCCTAGGCTGGTATTGCAAGGAAGGAAGAAGGAGAAAGTTCAAATTGGCAAATTTTCCAGGGGCATATTGGTGGGCCAGCAGCACCTTCCCAAAGAGTGCCTGGGATTAATCAGTACTACCAGCCATCAGTTTCATGAGTGATAAATCTCACTGCAGAATTTAAATGCTGTCAAGAAAACGGATGAAAAAGACAACCAGCTATACATAGCAGAAAGTATAAATGGGCTCCCCTTCCTTTCAAAGGGTAGATCCCATCTTGTTTTTATTTATTTTGGAAATGAAATCATCATGCAGGAGGTTTTCTCTTAATTAAAATTTCCTGTTGTCCCAAATGCAGATGTGGGGTGGGTGTGAAAGGAAATTAGTGAGTAATCTGTGGTAGGACTCTCTTTCCTTATGAATCTGGGCACCAATCAAGGGATATAAACTCAGGGAATTTTTAAACCCATAATAATTATGCAATTTTTCTTTTTTTCTAGATAACTAAGGAAAGGGAGGGGGGAAAGTATGAACCCCTTGTTTATACACAGAGTAATCTTAAAAAAACCTAAAATAACTAACTATTTGACTCAATTACCTAGCTGGATGCAGAATAACACTAACACAGAATAATTTTCTTGATTTAACATAATTTTTGTACTTAATGGCTTAGGATATGATCCAGAATTTGCAAACCAGGACCAATTTTAAAATAAATGTGTGTTTTGCCTAATGTATAAATGTGAGTTTTGCCTATGTAAAAATAGGGGGGAAATGGCCCATTTTAATTTGGAAAAGTTATTCTACTACTTAAGAACAAGATGCCACATTGCCTAAGACAGCATTTCATAGAATCATAGAAACATAGAAAATTAGGGTTGGAAGGGACCTCAGAAGGTCATCTAGTCCAGCTCCCTGCTCAAAGTAGGGCCATCCCCAATGATATCATCCCAGTCTATACTTTGTCTAGCCGGGTCTAAAAAACTTCCAAGGATGGAGATTCCACTACTTTTCTGGGAAGCCTGTTCCAGTGTTTGTGAGAGAGTTTTTCCTAATATCTAACCTAAACTTTCCTTCCTGCAAATTGAGGCCATTGCTCCTTGTTCTGTCATCTGCCACCACTGAGAACAGTCTAGCTCCATCCTCTTTTGAACTCCCCTTCAGGTAGTTGAAGGCTGCTATTAAATCCCCTCTCAGTGTCCTCTTCTCCAGAATAAATAAGATGGACTGCCCTCTCTTGGACTGTCTCCAATTTGTCCTTTGTGTAGTGGAGTCCGAAAACTGGGCACAGTACTCTAGATGTGGCCTCACCAGTGCCAAATAAAGGGGAATAATTACGTCCCTCGATCTGCTGGCAACATTCCTACTAATGCAGTCCAGTATGCTGTTAGCGTTCTTCACAACAAGGGCACACTGTTGGCTCATACTCAGCTTATTGTCCACTGTAATCCCCAGGTCCTTTTCTGCAGAGCTGCTGCTTAGTGCTTAGCTAGTCAGTCCCCAGCCTGTACTGGTGCATGGGACTGTTCTGTCCTAAGTGCAGGACTTTGCACTTGTCCTTGTTGAACCTCATGAGATTTCTTTTGGTCCAATCCTCCAATTTGTTGAGATCTCTCTGAATCCTAGCCCTACTTTCCATCTTATCTACTACTGTCCCCTCCCCAGTGCCTTGGTGTCATCTGCAAACTTGCTGAGGGTGCACTTCATCCTATCTTCTAGGTTGCTGATGAAAATATTGAACAAAACCAGCCCCAGGACCGACCTCTGGGGCACTCCACTTGAGACCAGCTGCCCACTAGACATTGCGCCATTGATTACTACCCTTTGAGCCGGACAATCCAGCCAATTTTGTATCTACCTTACAGTCCATTCAACTGACCGGTATGTCCTAGCTTGCTTGTGAGAATGTTTTAGGAAACCATATCAAAAGCCGGCTAAGGTCAAGGTATATCATATCAACTGCTCTTCCTGCATCCATGCAGCCAGTCACCTCATCATAAAAGGCAATCATGTTGGTCAGGCATGACTTGCCCTTGGTGAATCCATGCCGACTGTTCCTAATCACCTTCTCTTCCAAGTTCTTAGAAATGGACTCCTTGAGGGCCTGCTCCATGATTTTTCTAGGGACTGAGGTGAGATGGACCAGTCTGTAGTTCCCCAGATCCTCCTTCTTTCCTTTCTTCAAGGTGGACAATATATTTTCCCTTTTCCAATTGTCTGGGATCTCTCTTGATCACCATGAGTTTTCAAAGATAATGGCCAGCAGCTTTTCAATCATATTGGCCAATTCCCTCAGCACTCTTAGGTGTATTGTGTCTGGCCTTTTGGACTTGTACACGTCCAGCTTTTCTAAATAGTCCCTAACCTATTCTTTCACCAACACTGGCTGCTCGCCTTTTATTATTAAGATTTAAAATTTGATTATTAAGAGAGAGTCAAGGATTTTTTTCAGATAATATCTTTTATTGGACCACCTGCATGGATGGAATAAAGTTAAGTAAGCTTTCAAATGCAATGCATTCTTCATACATATAAAACAGACAGAGAACATTCACAAATAATCTATTTTTTTTGCTGTAATTAGAACATTATATATTGTCCTCTGCTACTGGGAAAGTGATCCAAGTTTAAAATACAGCTCCTAGAAAATATAATTTTGTCTGAAAAAAATATTAGGTATAGAGGAAAAACAGAATTGCATTCCTTTCACTCATGTTGTGCTCTGATCACTCAGTTTTCTTTGCTGTTCACAGTGTCTTGCCCCTAGTTCTCTGGCTTCCCAAATTGCTAGATTACCTGTGAGGAAAGCACTGTTTCCTTCCTTTCAAAGTGAACGATGTTAGCTCAGCTAACTACAAATAGAATGGGCAACAACAAGAGGGTAATTAAATGCAATGTTGCAGTTGCAATTTATGGCATAATTTGGGCTTTAGAAAGTCAGACAAATATTCCCAATGACAGAAATCTTAAGAAGTATTTTGCTTCTCCAATATCAGTGTCTGTGCACACCTGCCATTTTCTAATATGCATGGCAATACAATCATCAGATTAGTGCCATATTGAATGTTTGCACTAAATTATGTATAATGGTTTTTACATGTTGATTTTTAACCCTAAGGATTATGTTGTCATAGCAAGCTAAAGATTTAACCTTCAACTGCAAATTCCAAACATAAATGCCATAGAATTATAGAAGCCAGGGACACAAAAGTCTTGTTAGCACTGGATCTTCCTGATAGCTTGCATCTTCCTGTTAGCATGGGATTCACTGCTACTTTTTGCAGTGCTTTGAGTACCCCGCTTCCTTATATTTCTAGTGATCTCCTACTGGAAGTTTATTCTACATTCCAAGAGATCTCATTTTATTCCTATGCAACCTACATCTCCTTGGCTAATGTTTAGCCCATTATTCCTGACTATACTCTCTTGTGTCACCAGAATGACCCTTGCTCTCTTGGGACTAGACTGGGTACTTTGTCCTGCACTACTTCACACCATAATGATCTCCAGGGAAGCTGTGTGACTGCTGTTTTATTTGGAAATGCATGTGCACAACTAACTTCATTTTCATTCCCACAATGTGTTCATTCTGGGACATGTGTTCATTCCATAGTCCAGTACAGAAAGAGAGATGATGATCTCCCTTATTCTCCATTCTTTCTGGATGACCTGTTCCTCAAGAGGAAAGGAAGAGCAACTGTCCCTGGTCTCCTCAAGATACCCTTGCTTAGACATACAATATGGGGAGGCTTTCTGCACAACCAAGCAAAGATCATCACGGTCTTGCTTAAAGTATCCTCACCCATGGAAAGCTGTCAAGTAGACTTTTCCTCATCTGTTTTTTTCCTTTAAAAACCCATGCTTGTATTCCTTTTGTGTGTAACACATACTGCATTCTAAACATTACAAAGATTAAGAATGCTATACACCTTTGCCGGTTGCTTCCTCACAAGAGCAAACACAATGATATTGAGCCTTACCGTGTGTGCTGCAGCAGAAAGGGGGGTACGCTGAACTGGAGTTCTCCTGTGACTGCGATTGTCCCACAGGACAATTTGCCCAGAGTAAGTTCCTCCAACAACCAGGTTTGGATGAAAGCGAGCAAAGCAGACAGACATCACAGAAGACTAGAGTAAAACAGGGTAGAGTAGAGGTTTCAGGTTCATTGTCAGTCACCTTCATTGCTATTTCTCAGAACAACTGGTACATTTATATTCTCAGAAATACAGCACATGACTCTGATCCAGCACTCTGTGAACATCTGCAACTTTTACTGAAGTCAATGGGACACACAAAGAATGCTGCACTACACCCAATATTTCTAGTCCAATTGATTTTAGAGAACAAGTTGGTAGGGTAGGCATAATGAATTGGGGACAATAAAATGCTGACTGGGATACCACTGCCAAGGGGATGATGTTAAAGTGCTTCCTCTAGTTTTCTTTTTCTTTTTTTAGTTTTTATGCAATAAAACTAAATATTTCTATTTTATTTTAAACCCAATAGGTGAACCTCTACACCAGGTTTGTCCAACATACAGCCCGCGGGGCCTCCATGTAGCCTGCCAAGCCATTTTCTGAGGCCCAAGGTGCTGCAACAGGAAACGAAAGTAAACAATGTACTTTCATTGCAGGGGGGGTGATGTGATACCGCTTCCTATGAGGTCTTTGAATATGGCTCACTGGCTGATAAAAAGTTCATGATCTGGCCCCACATTCAAAAAGGTTGGACACCCCTGCTCTACACCACTATTCCTCCTCCTTGAGACCCCCACCCCACCCAGATCACAGAGACCTTTATGATACCTATAATACCTAACTGCAAATGATGTGCTTTCTTCATGAATATGATCTCCAGCAGATCATTCAAACTCACTACCAGTCAAGGAGAAAACAAGCAGAGTATGAACTGTGAAGAATGGAGTCCCCCAATACTTTTCAAGGTTTACACCTCAGACTGCCCACATACAGCATCTAAGCAATATGTGTTTGCTGATGATGTTACCATAGTAGTCCAAGGAACAGACATGACAGAATTGGAAAAGATACTGAATACTGACATGGAACTCATTACTGACTATCTCCACAAGTGGTGCCTGAAGTTGAGCATCAATAAAACATTATAATCACTTTTCCTCCTGAACAATTGTTGAGCCAACAGCATGCTGAATAGCAAAGTAGGCAACCATACTCTTCCACATGAGCATACCCCAACTTACCCAGAAGTCACATTAGACCATTCCCTCATCGATAAACATTACATTCAGAAAGTCAGTAATAAACTTTCTGCATGGATAGCTGCCTTAAGATGTTTAGGCAGCACAACATGGGGCATCAACTTCAAAGTGCTCAGAACCACCTTACTTGCAATGGTATATGCCACAACAGAACATTGTGCTCTTGTATGGTCCAGAAATTGTCACACTAAAAAGCCTGACAGTGTAGTTAACAGTGTGGTGAAACTCATGACAGGCTGCACAACTTACACACACACACATGTTCTCCCTGTACTCTTGGGCATTAGACCAAGTGATGTAAGAAGACAGACCCTAACATCATGACTAGCAACAGAGGCAAGAGATGATGAACATTATCTGCTCCATCAACTGTTAACTGAAGACTCGAACAGATGAAAACTAAAGAGGTTTAAAAGTCATAAACTGTTTACACATTAAACCCACAAGCTCCTTAAAGAGATTGGGGATGCTGAACCAAAACTATGGGCAGCAACAGAGTGGGCTGACCACTGGGAAAGGTCAGACCTATTCCTACAGTGTTTTATACCAACACCAAACAAGTCCTTCATTGGGCACGATTTTGACAGAGAAGTGCAGGTCAAGCTGAATAGATTGAAATCTGGATACAGATGCTTCAAAGCAACACTTCACAAGATGAACATCTTAGACAGCCCCCTGTGTGAATGTGGTGTCCAACAAACAGCACAGCACTTAATTGAAAGTTGCAATCTTTACAAATGCCCAGAGGGGGAAGATGGAATTCTCACATTGAGGGATAATACCAGACAGTGGCTTATAGACTGATATCTGATGCCATACAAGAAAGAGACCCTTATCCTTGCCCTCATAGCGTGCGTCCAGATGAGTACGCACGTGCCTCTTGTCCCATCTCAAACCCCTTTGAGACGGGGCAACAGGCATGAGTGGAAACAAAAAAATGTTCCCAACACTGCAAGTTTGCAGCACAGGGATAAAATTAGACCCCTGGATATCAAGGGGTCTAAAAAATTTGAAGTTTAAAAAAGCAGAGCAGGGCACAGACCATGCCCTGAGGCAACCAGAGGCTGCCAGAGCATCTCTGTGGTTGGCCCCTTGCCCTGATGCTGAAACACACAGCCAGAAAGGCTGTGTGTTCAGCACCAGGGCTCCAGTGCCAGTGAGTAAGGGGTCGGGGGGGTGGAGGAGTGGGGAGGGGACCATGGTGGGGAACCCCCGCTGGCCCCGCCTACTCCCCC